TCCTCCTCCTCCTCCTCCTTCTCATCCTCCTTCTCCCTAACCTACAAGTCTGAACTTGTTTGAACTTGATTATAGTTGGTAAGTGAGTGTAACCCGTTTTATGCTGAACCACTGAAAACTTGCACCAGGCACCACGTTCATCTTCTGCACACAACGTAGCGACCAAGTGCCGATTTTGACAAGCCAAAGTCTGCTTTTGCTTCCCTGACGGTCTTACCATGCAGGACAGCCTCCACCGCCCTTTTCATGATGTCATGTGGAGATAATCTCGTGACGTATTTTCATCTGTAGATTCGGGGCATTTCTAAAATAAAGTGAGGAAAAAAAAGAAAGGAAAAGGGTCTTCAAGAGAAGCGCCCCCACAAAAACTATGCTCCGAAAGGGACAGCTTAGGCTGCCTTAAAGAAAAAATAAATAATAATGCTCGGGAGAGCGGGAGACTTGTGATTCGGGGAAAGTAGAACAAGGCCCAAGACATGTATTTGTGTGGACAAAATTTAGAAGGCAGGCTTCGAATGGGCCAACCCAATCTGAGAGGGATACAGCATTCCAGCAGAAAGACCAAGATACTCAATAGAAATAGAAAAGAGACACGCACAGGAATGGAACACAAGTCTCCTGCGTACGACAGCAAAGCCCCTTTCCGGTACACCACAGACGCCAGTTTTTTTAATTTTTTTTTTTTAATTTTTTTTTTTAAAGTCATATTATATCAACTTTATTTGAAAATCACATGGAACAGTCTGAGAACCGACTCCTAAATAAAACGAAGAATCAAACTTGGTGAGATTCCGTGGGCAGGAGAACAGGGACACAGTGTCCTACTTTCATTCACTCCTTTCCCAATTCTCCTGCTGCCTGGTGCTTTGTGTTCAGTGTGTTATGAATTTAGTCAAATGGTTTCCTGGTGAGAGGCGTTTAACAAAAATAGGCGTGGAAATGGCAATTTTTTTACACGAGAAGATACATTTGCATCAGGATTTAAACAAAAATAATGTACAGATTGTGACATTTACTTTGAGGAAGAGCAGGGGTCATCAAACACTTTGTTCAACCGGTACTGGATAACTGAGAAAATGCAGAATGAGGGCCAGATGACTATTTTGTTCAATACAATACAGACATGCGAGCAATGATAATAATAAATAGAAAGCATTTGTATAGCGCAAATCCCCGCTCAAAAGCAAGCTATAAATGTGCTTCACAATCTATACTATTACCCCAGCAGACCTGAGAGCATTCTGAAACAAACTCAACTTCTTGGGAAGCATACAGTGCAAGCAGCCATTTATAGGCGCTAAAACACTAACTTACTGACAAGATCTTTTGCTGTCTATGGCCGGGTACCAATTTCCACCTGGGTGAAGTGAGAAAAATTCTTGTAAAGTGCCTTTCTCAAGGACCCAACGTCGGGCCCCCGGCTCGAAGCCCCGACCCCGCAACCTCACGATTACGAGTACGGTAGCCTAACCACTAGGCCACCGACGCAACATGAAACATAATGTATCACAGTAAAGCTGAGCGAAAATGTGACACATTCGCTGGAATTTAATAAAGTCGATGGGGAAACAGTTACCAATAAATACCTGCTGAAAATGGTTTCGCAATTGGGTTTTGCTTGACTATATTATTGGTCGTGCACAGACCAAATTTACATGTATATCTTACTACTAATGGAGCTACGGCCAAATTTTACGTATATTCTCAGAAACTAAAGAATTAAAAAATATGAAACTTTGACAGTACCCATAACTTGAAAAGTAATGTTGCACTATTGTATTTTCATTGAGATCAAATGTGTAAGAAGAAAGCCCATTTTAAGTTCAATTCAGTCCTTTTGTAGCGATCATTTGCTTCGACTTTGTATATTCACTGCGGAGTGCCGACTGCACCGAAGGGTTTTGTGTTCAGTTATACATTAAAAAGGTTTACGGGAATTTCCGGTTTCGGTCTCACGCCTCTGACCGTCTTCTCACAGCGAGTTTGGAGCGCTCATAAAAGAAGGAAGAGGCGGAGGAGGATGAGGAGGAGGTGTAGGTGTAGATGAAGAAGAAGAAGAAAAAGAAGAAGAAGAAAGAAGAAGAAGAA